TTGTACGGCATTGCAACAGCGGCGGTGACCAGAGGCAACAAAAGTGGTAGGGATGGACCGGGGAAAGAGATCGAGCGAGACGCGATGCGGGGGACGAGCCGCGCGATAATCCCTCTACATCTGGGAACAACCGCGTCCAAGTCGCGGCCACGACTGTTTGCTTTTCACCGACACAAAGTAAACGAAAGCAACATCAACATTCGCACGTGTCAGTCTGTCAGTGCCGGATCCATCGCGCTTGCGCAAAGTGCGCGTTCTCCGACAGAATGCCTAATTCGAATGAAAGAGGGTGCCACTTGATCCTCTCTCTGTGGCGGGGGTTTTTTTTTGTTTGTTTTTTTTCAAATGATCCACGTAGCAATTTAATTGAGCTTACAATTTTATATTTAGCGATCCCAAGGATTCGAGTTCAATCCAGCAAACGAGAATGGATTGAAATTTTTTTCTGTCCGATTTAATTGGATTCAATTGAATTCAATTAGATTCAGTTAGATGCAATTGAATTGAAAAACTGCATTTCCTATTCAAAATTTTGAATTGAACAGTATTCACAATGTGTGTGTTGTGCACAGAAAAAGCTAATATTATTTTTAGATCGAAAAGCATAGAGATATGCTCCATGCAATTCCTATAAATGAATAAAAATGCATTCAGGATTGAAAAGCATTCATTTTAACATTCGTGAATCAATATTTCTGAAAATTTGAATCCATTTCAATCCATTCTCGTTTGGGAACACATTGCGAATACTTGCATATGTATTTATACGTCATGCACACATTTTCTAGTAGCAATTTATTAGCTACTCAGATAACAAATTTCGTGCAAAAGTAAAGCAAAGTAATTTATTTGCTGATACTTGTTATCGTAATGTTGCCATAATAATCCCAGCAAACAAGAATGGATTGAAATGAATTAAAATGGATTCAGATTTTCAGAAATAATATCTAAAAATAATATTGGCTTTTTCTGTGCATTGTGAATACTGTTTAATTCAAAATAGGAAATGCAGTTTTTCAATCCAATTGCATCCAATTGAATCTAATTGAATCCAATTGAATCCAAAAAAAGTATTCGTTATTTATAAAATACGCATTCGGATAGAAAAAAATTTCAATCCATTTTAATCCATTCTCGTTTGCTGGGATGACAAAAACATTTGCCAAATAAAATTCGACTTGCATGTTGCCATAATTTTGTCAAATTTTTGATGATAAGCAAAATTGCTTCAATTTTGCAGAATATTGCCATAATCAAACACACAATTGTTGCCGCAAAGTTACTGTAAAGTTACTCTACTACATTTTGTGTGTTTCTTTGCTTGCAATATTGCATTAAATGAGGACTCATCTTATTAGCAAATTGCTTGCAACATTTTTAAACAAATTTTCAACAAAATACTGGTAAAATATTATCTGGATAGTGATTATAGTTGAACGTTAGGAATATATGTATACAATGAGGGGGATCACTACTATTTTTTTATATTGTGTCAATAAATTGTGTTTAAGGACTGTTAATGATTATCGCAGAGCAATAAATGTTCGTACGAAAAAGCAAGATACATATATAATATCAATACGAACAAGATCCAATATTTTTAACGAATCAAAATAACACAAATTTAAGTTTATTTTTATTTACTTCTTAAGTAAAAAAAAATTTTTTTTTTGTAAATTATGTAAAAGAAAAAAAAAGATAAAGAATGTTACTGTACTGCCCGAAGGTATTCTTGTACGCAATTAATTCTCAATGTGGTATTTACTCGAGAGTGTCGTTTAAAGCGCGTTTCATACCGTTGATATTACCGCACGGTATAATTTTTCGTTATTACATTTGAAGAATACAATTGACGGAAATATAAATTCTCGGTGACAAAATTAATTATGTAACAATACTAAACAAGACTATAATAGATCCATATAGCGAAACTTAGATAAATTACAACCAGCCGAGGCCGCGAATCGTATCTACAGAATGTATCGCCGTAATATATTCTGAGAAAAACATTTGTATGTAAATCTATTTATTTCTGGCAGCGATGACGCAGCTACACTAACTTAACTTGAATTTTATTGATACGAAAGAAATTTTTTCTACTATTATAAGTAGAGTCGCGTATATTATTAAAAAAGAATTAGAGACCTTGAGTAAAGTAAAAAATAAGTCTATTTTTAACATTTAAACAAAGTCATGAATGCAATGAAAATAATATCATCGCAATGTCAACAAAAATAATAAATGCGTTTTTCGTATTGCAATATTTGCATATAATGATAACAGTGCAACCTCATTACAACGAGGACTGACGTGGTGAAATTTCCCTTATAATGAAAGTTGAGAAATCTTCCATCGCGATGTAATGTATATCTTTACATTGCTAATTTAATATGTGTTGACACATATTAATATGTGTCGATAAACGCGCTTAATTTAAAGATTATTTGACTTTATTTATTTGTATACAAATATCTTATCTGAAACGCACGTATACTACAAAGTATTTCTTATTTTATGTATGTGTGTGTGTGTATGTATATAATTACAAATTAATTGAGTATCTTTGTATTTTTAAATGCACGTTTAAAATGTTCCACATAATCTATATTAATATTAATATATATTGATATTAATAAATAATATTAAAAGTTACAATAAAAATTAAATAACTTTAAATTAAGCATTATTGATGTATTAATATATCAAATCAGTAATGTAACGATACACATTAATATTAATATATATATATTAATTTAAAATTAATGTAAATGCAATTATGCAAACGAAATTACGAAATCTTTTTTTACTTGCAAAGTAGTAGGGAACTTAAAAATCAAGGAATAAGAATTAACACATAAAGTAAACATACTTTTAGTGTATAATATACATTCTCTGTATTCTAATATTCTGGCAATAAATTTCTGTTTACATTTATCTAAACAGAACGTCCTATCTCATATAATAACTTGCATCTATGCTTGTGTTTCGATATTTAACCGCATTCCTAAAATACATAAATATATCAGACTTTCTGAAGATAAATTACAAACTATATGACAAATAAATAAATAAATAAATAATAAATAAAGTACGGCCAAAATTCGTGCAACGTGAAATCTGTATAATATAGGATATCCTCTTCTATCGCATTAATCATTTCTGAGTCCTTTTGGAATCGATTTTTCCTTAGCGAAAATATTCGAGAGAAATATCGTTAATTGTAATTTTTTTATCTTTAACACGTAAAAAAACACGTAGAATCAATTAAAATACATTAATCGAATATAATTTTCATGTTTTTTTACAGTTTGTCAGAAGCTTCTTATTCTTAATTGTTACTTGAGAAATTATTGATGCCTTGATATTTCTCTTGAGAAAAAAATTAATTCCAAATTGACTGAGTGATCTGTCAAAAAAAGTAACGTAGTGCAAGTGGGACACCATGCATGCGTTTTCAACGTTACTTTCCCTCGCAAGTATGTAAAAAAAATGATTTATTAATATGATTAAGAAATCTGTCGAAATCATATCGCGCAGCTTTCGCGACTCGACAGACGTATACTCCATAAAAGACGACACGCATCACATTTCATTCGATCTTCAATGAAGATCCCTCGTGGATCGATTCTCATTAGTGGTTACTGGTGGTTTGAGTCGGACCAAAGAGCGGCAGGAGTTGTATGTAGTTTAAGCTGCAGGTGAAACAGGCGGCGGTCGAAGCATTGACCTGGTGGCCGAGGAAAGTTTCTGCGACACCAAATGCGCGATATGCGACGATCTCTTCCACACAAACTCCCGCGTTCGGTCATGATCGTCTTGGCTTTCCACTCGAACCTGATTTAAAAAAAAAAAGGAAGAAATAAATATTCGGTTTATTGAACACGAACATGAATACAAAGTAAGCTTTAAGCAAATGGAGTAGTCGTTACTTATTGCTGTTCTATAACTGTTTCGTCAACTTGTTATGTCAATCTTCGTTTCAAATCTGAGATAGAATTTCATGTCGAATTGTAACAATCGTAATATACATTAAATTAATAAATACAATATAATTTAGGAAAATTGAATTTCTCTCTTTAAAAGATATTTATCTGCTATGCGAAATACAGTGAGGGCAAAAAGTATTTATACAATTATTATAAATACATTCTAATATAAACCAAAGAGAGAGAGAGAGAGAGAGAGAGAGAGAGAGAGAGAGAGAGGTTTCTATATTTTTAGATTTTTAATATATTCTAAAAACTTCTTAAATTTGCATGAATAATTTAATATTTAATTGTAACTTAAAACATCAATTATGTATTAATAAAAACAATCAATAAAATCAAGAGAAATCAAGAAAGAAGTTTTTAAGGAATTTAGCCGATATGATCGAACATATGACACAAAATCATTTACTCATTGACTTGACGTTCCAGTTCCGTGATATTCACGCGTTGCTATAACTGTTTTTCCCCTCTGTCGACGTACCTGTTTAGGTTGCAAAACTCGAATAGAATGCAACGTCGCCGCACCGCCGTGCAACACACGGAGGCTCAGCTTGCCAGACATCTCGGCTGTAGTAGCGGTCGCACTCCTCAGCTCCTTTTTCGCGGCCCTGCCAAACTCTTTCTCGACCTTCAGCACCAGCGGTCCCAGGCTGAACTTAGTCTTAATTGTCGTGTGATCACTCATCATGTTCACCGATACGTCGCCCGTCCTCTGCAAGGAGGCCAATCCATACAGAGTGGCTCTCGCTTTTGGTCTGCTCTTAGACTTGGTCTAAAAATCACAAGGAAAAACTCATTGTATACTCATTTTTGTTTATATCGAACAATTGTGTCATTCTTAAATCTATTTAGATTCAAATCCAGATTTTTAATTACCTTATTCTTATTGCTGCTTTGATTTTTCGTCTTATTTTTCGTTCGTTTGCGATTTTTGTTAAAGTTCTTATTGTTCTTATTCGTCATACGTCTATTATTAGCTCTCATTTCTGCACGAGATTCCAATGAAATCGGTTCTTTTTCCGTTTCGTTTGTTTGTGGTACAGATTCAATGGTCTGCGTGACTTTCTGGAAATATAAATAATACATATATACTGCGTGACTTTCTTTCTAATGTACTAACATATTAAGATGCATAGAATTCCCGAATTTATAGACAAATATTTTACAGATGAAGACATGATTTTTCTTTAAACTTAATTTTTATTTTTAATAAGATTTCAAAATTCTATCAGTTATTTTATTCTTTTAAGTCTCTAAATAAAGTTTTGTTATTTAATTAGATTCCTTAAAAATTTAGTTGGTGAAGTTTTTCATTTTTAGTAAACTATTAATGTCTCGATATTATCATTAAATTCAATATTATAAATTTGATATTTTGCAATAACATAAATTATTTGAATCACACATACACACACACACACACACACACACACACACACACACATAAGAATGCTTAGAATCATACCTCGATATTATTTTCATTGTCACTCTTTTCAGTGACAGCGGACGTGTCGATCGGCCTTGAGGCGCTCTTCTTGGTACCATTTTTAGTGCCTTTCTTCTTAGTCTTGTTTTTGTTCTTCTTGGAGCTTGAATTTGAATTCGTTAATTTCACAGTCACCGGTTCATAATTGGTCCGCAGAATATTGTTGATCTTGCCGAGAATATTGTCGACGAACCGATTATATTTTGCTACATAAATCGCTGGCACGTGACCACTCGAATCGGAGTCCATGGCACCTAGACCGTTAATAGAAATTGTATCAGTCAATTTCTATACTTTTCTATACTTTTCCGGATATTCTTTGCGAAAGTTCGTATGGAAATGCTATCTTTAACATTAGAACAGATATTTGTATTCTGAAATTATTCATGAAATTGCGACACTTTACCACACATGAAGTATGTATTATTTTTTTTATTTAAAATAATTAACTATTTATAATTAACTATCTTACAAGTTTTTGACTAATCGGTGGCTATGATCAAATGACTGATTATGGATCAGTACAAATTTTATATACATATTGTAACAGATGCTGCTGTTGTATGTGAATGTATTACGATCATTAATTGTATAATTAAAAAAATTTTGTGCTACACCATCACCGCTACCAGTCTAAGCATTATGACTTGATAATCTCTACTCTTCTTCAAAAGCCATCAGTTTACAAATAACGAATCCTCATCAAAATCGCTCGTTATGAATCCGGAGATCGAAGGATTCTATAAAAATGTCCGATTCGAGGTAAACAGAAAGGAAGAAAGAGTGGCTTTAGGAATGCGCCCCGATTGCGTCCTTGAGACCACTTTTCGTGAGGTCATTTCGTCTCGTCCGGGTCATCGACCAGGGTGAGACCGTGCCCGACGTTGCCTTCCGGAGCTCGGCGTACCGTCTCTGGGTTTTAATGAAGGGAAACGCATTCCTCTCCCCGCTGGTTACCTTGGAAGGAAGTCGGCGTTTGCTGATCGAGGAGGAGCCTACTTATTTAAAGCGACGACAATGTTAACGGTATATCGGAATCCTTCGGCGCGGCCAAACTGGTCCCCGATCTAGGCCATGACCTCCTTTTTCGCTACATAACTCACCTACAGACCTATCTAGCCGCGCAGGTCCATCCAACTGCTGCCTACCTAAAAACTCTCCCCCGGTCGTTGCACCTCCTGCAGCACGTAAGCACGACTTTCTTTCGGACGTCACGATGCCGTGCCACGCCGCGATGAAAATCTCATGCCACGGGCAATATTATCAAGGCCGTCTACTTCTGGCACAGACGGACCTCTCAATAATATGTACATACGTGATAATACCTCCTCTGTATTCTCGAGAATCTTATTTGGTGTACTGTAGAGGAATCCTTTACAACGCGACTGACCCAAATAAATTTTCTTCAAGACGCATTTTATGGTTTCAAAACAAAAATAACTCGATACCATAAAACGTTTGACATACACACGTGATTCAAATTTGATCTTTATAGACTAAATGCTTATTAAAATATTAATAAAAAATTTAGCAGAACCAAATAATATATTATATGAGACACAATGATGATTTTTATTTAAATTTACTCTCTTTAGATAATAAACTCTTTAATTAAATACGAGAACACACGAAATATTACATCTTCAAAAATGTGATTACTCAACATATTCATCATTTTGTTATATTTATTAAAAGATAAAAGTAAATGGTATTTCTTACATGAATCATGATTATGATTTTGATCTTTATTTTTTATCTAATTCTTTATTCTTTATCTAGACCTTTTCCGATTCTTTTCATATTTCTTTTTATGCATACTATTAATATTTTTTCAAGTAACTAATTTAAATATTGAAGCAATAATAGTTTGCTGCAGTAATTGTTCAAAACAAAAGATATCAACTCTCATATCAAGAGCATATTTTACCTTACATATTTACAACAATTATTCAAGCGACAATGTAATATTTCATCCATTGCAAATATTCCAGAAAAGGAGTCGACATCATTAATTTAGTGTAAGACATAAACAGATTATTGTCTTCAATCATCTCACCTTTGAGGAACGAAACAGGTCAGTCGTATGCATGCCCACGTATGCATGTATAAAAGCACACGGAAAAAGATTAAGAGCGATCATATATTAAATCACGATGTAGGCATATATATGTCACGTGACAGATACCGAAGGACATCGTCTTCGTAACTTCGACTATGGGTCAGGGTCGCAGTCGGAGGCCCTTCCGATCAATCGGTTACGAGCTATCCCGGTGAAAGCCGGGAAAAAATTTCAATGCGGTCACACCTTTGTTGGATTTAACCCAGCACTCATGTAGAAAGTTAATTGGATGTGGCGCGCGACGGTTAATTAAGAATCTCCGTTCATAAACTGATGGCGGCGATTTGTTTGATAAGCATCAAGTCGAACAGTTTTGTTCCTTCCTCTTTAGTCTTACCCGAAGTTAATCGAAGACTAAATACATACCAAAATGATATTTGCGATTGATGATACAATACAAATGTCCAGAAATGTTTAAATTGTAAGCGCACAGTATCGTCTATGTAATAAGAACTAGTGAAAGATAGAAAAATTAAAGTAGAACTACTAAAGATATAGTCAATATACATAGGACAAATCACAAAAGCAAACTATATATGTATATAAGGAAATCACAAAAGCAATCTATTTAAGATAGAATCTAGGAAGAGATCTGCGAATGACAAAAAGAAAAGCGCTATAATAAAAAAAAAGACATTTGCAGAGTGTGCCGTTGGATCAAATCTTTTCGTTTGGTTATCAGCTACTTTTTTTATCAACTACTAGTTAGTTACCAACTACTAACTACTAATTTTACTATCTACTTGGGGGTATAAAGGTACAGAAGGAACGTATATTAAGGAACATGGAGGACGAATGGAAGAATGTCGTGCTACTGTCCAGGTACACGTTGTTGCAGTCGATCGTCCAAAACCGTCCACCAAACACGCAATTATCTCTACTGGCAGAAAATACAGCTGAAGCGACAGTAGGTATGAGCAGCTATATAATGGTCGAGAAACGAGTGACAAGAAAAAAAAGCGAGTGAGGTCGAATCGATACAAGATATCAGAAAAAGAGAAATGTGCCGCTATCTATCGAATGAATTTAAATAACCAGACGGGTTATTTCACGTCACGTCACAAGAAGACGGAGAACACGCCCTTTTCTCAGCCGGGGATCGAGATCGATAATAATTTCATCGAGAAAATATAAATTTCGATACGCGAAAGTTCAACTCTACGTTCATCTGCGACGGTCATTCGATTTTCCCTGCGTTTGTGGTATCGAAAGTTGATCTGAATCGAAATTATCCTAATCTTCAGCTTTGAGCGAAAGAGATTTCGCGATTTGAAATTTGCCAAAGGAAGGAAAACAGAGAGAATTCATCCTCCTGGATCACGCGAATCGCGAGTGTATCTGGACACAAACGACTAATTCGATGCAACTGGACAATGGTGAATAAAATAAATAAACGGTACACATAGCTTTGTAAAAATAATAAATTATTTGTATTTTGTAATCCAGAACGGACAATGTCTCTGTACAAGTCTTGGTCTAGAGTAGAGAAACATCGTAAACAAACAACATATCTCTCGATTCGCGCGGAGCAATTGACATCGTCATTGACTGTGCTTAATCTGGCAAGTGATAGGCAACTATCACTTAATAGAAATGCAATATAAAATATAAATTTATATAATATAAAACAATTTTAAAATTACACATATTTACACTAAAGGACATTGATGATAGGTTTGACTCACCTGCCAGATTAAACATCTTATTGCTAATTCGACAGAGCAGAGACAGGACGAGATCAATTTCTCGTTCTGTTTTTTTTTCTTAATTGGACGATTTCGATGTCTCTTGATCTTATAAACGAGACTATATGATATTTCTAGATCTCTCTTTCTATCTTTCTCTCTCATGCACGCGCATTCCCCATCCGTTCTCTTCCTTTCTAGTGTTCTCTCTTTCTTTTTTATCACATTTATCACATTTTTTATCTCATTCTGATAGCAAGATGGATCATGAATGTTGGAAAAAGGAAGGAAACACGTGACATGAGGTCACCAAACCAAAGGATTTTAATGCTACTCCATGCAACACGAGGATTTAGAAGATACTGAAAGGTACTAAAAGACGCAGTCTAAAAAATTTCTGAAAAAATTTGAACGCCTAAAAAATTAGCACATATCTTAGATAAAATATTTTAAAAAATGTTTAAAAGATCAGAGAGAAACCAAAGGACTATAAAGAGCCCAGACGTGTCAGTCTATATGATGCGATGCGACGTGCGATAAAACTTTAAATAGAGATATTCCCGTTAATAAATATAATAAATAACTAACGCTTGAAACAATTGTTTAGTGTACAAAACTGAAAATTTTTGCTCGCGCGAAATTTGTTAGCGCGAACTTTCTATCATTCATTAAATTATTGAGAAAAAAATTTCTCAATCTGATCGAGAAACTGTCACGTGTAATATATAATGTAAAAAATTTCTTTTCGTTCTTCTTTCTTTTTTTATCACAAATTAAAAAATGTTGTGAATATTTACGTTAAAAAAAGGAATTGTATAAATTAAATTATATAAATTTAAAAAATTGAAGAAAAATGATATACACATAAATTATATAAATAAATATTGTAGATTTATTTACTAATAAAATAATCTCGATACTAGAAATTTATTAAATTTCTAAACACATAAATAATAATTTTTTCACAATGTTTAATTTAAATCAACTTGAAAAATTAAAAATAATATCAATTTACAATAAATATTAAAATTAATATTTATATTACTCATTGCTATGTGCAAGATATAAAAAGATAACAAAATATGTTTTTAATTTTAAAAAACAACATCAAAAGAGAAACAAGATCGATCAGTACATATAGTACTTTCTTTCACTTTTGTAGAGCTTCGTTTCATTCACAATTTTGTTCTGAAAAATCTCACAAAGGCGCGATCGTTACGTTTAAAAGAGATATAAAACACGCTTTTGAAGGAGATATGCAAACGAAATGAAATGAATAAAATAAATTCCACGAGCGAGCTTCGCGATCGGGCGTCATCCTAATAATCGATCTCGTAAGACTGACATGAAAACGCTCGATGGAATCGATCAGTTGACAGACAGTCAACATGATACGATGTACAACAACTTTTATGAAACTTCTAAGAAATTTTCGTGCCAAAAGTCAAATGACTCGGCGGCAAAGACAACGCGTGAGGTCAAAGGATCCACGTTGCACTTATCACCCGATTTTCATAGTAACTCGGTCTAAAAGCTCTTCAATGCGGAGATGGAAGAAGAAGAAGAAGAAGAAGAAGAAGAAGAAGAAGAAGAAGAAGGTGAAGAAGAGGAAGAGATCGATCGTACGATCGATTTGCCCGACTTGCGAGGGTGCTTGACGTTATGTTTCTTGGCCTTCTTGCCCTTGAACTCACGTGCATGCCTAGCGTCAGCGATGTCGGTGATATCATCCACATCGTCGTCGTCATCATCGTCGTCATCATCATCATCATCGTCATCGTCGTCGTCGTCATCATCATCGTCCGTAATATCTAGATCTACATCGTCGTCGTCATCATCGTCATCATCATCGTCCTCGCTAGTCGGAGCAGCCGCTACAACGCTGGGAACGGCCTGGACTACCGGATTCGAGACAGACTCGGCACCTTCGAACGTCGTCTCGTGAATGTTGGATGCAGCCTGGCTCTCGGCAGCGTCACCCGCCTCATCCTCGTAGCTGCCGGCATCATCCTCGGCCGTTTCACTTGACGCGACATCCTCCGCAGCTTCCTCGCTGGCCTGATTCAAATCAGCCGCCACGGCAAGCGGCACCTGTGGCGAATTGACGGGGGTAGGTGGAGGTGTTACGGCGGAAGGAACAGGTGCCGGTGAAGCTTCGTCCTCGTCATCATCATCATCTTCCTCTCCTGCAAGTTGACAGAGATACATTATAGATGAAAATATATTTTTTTTTTATTAACAATGATATTAATAGATCGAGCGAGAATAATATTCTCTATCGAGAAGAATTTTCCCGAGTTAATAAAAAATGCAATAAGTGCTGAGAAAAAACGAGTACAACTTCATTAAAACATTGCAAAATTATACTACAAAGTACACGGGTAACAATTAATTTTATTATCTCTTATAAGTTCACGCATTCATGATTTTAACGCACTCTGCATAAGAGACAGCCGGGGAATCGAGAGAACTCAGATTATCTTTTGGTATTCAGGTCAATGCGAAGAAGTAGCGCGTAGAAATTTTTTTCAGAACCGAGATCGCTGTCGATTTATGTTAATTTGGACGAGTCAAAGTACCCTGTACCGTTACTATGCGCGAGCATATGTGAGCGAGAAAGAGAGATTCTCAGGCAATACGAAGCTTCGCGTTTACATAACGGTTTGTGTCAGTTTGCAATATTTTCTATTGTCTGAGATTCGAAGAAAAGAAAGAATCGATTCATTGTTCAGCTCTCAGAAAGCAAGTTATTACAGTTTAGATGTGATTTATTGTTCAATACAGGAGAAATCAAACTGTTTATAAATACATTATTGACAACTAGATAATTGTATAGTCACCTAAAAGGTTGCAACATTTTTTTTAAATAGGTTTCGGAATGCAGCCTCATCAAGCGGTTGGTTCTTATTTGTTGATCTATGAATAAGAACCAATCACTTGGTGAGTTGTATTGCGAAAAAAAAAGTGTCGCTAGGTGACTATATATTTAGGAAAATTTTATCAAATAATGTGATACTAAATACTTATTTAGTATCAAATTTTTGTTATTTTCCGTTATCTTCCTATCCGTTATATTCCATTTTTTTATGTATGTAAGAGCTAATAATCTATTTAACTAAATTGCTATTTGAATATCAAGTTTATCTAACGGTAGGCTTGTTAATGAACATATTAATTAAATAAGAAGTACTGCCAAATTAAGAATATCTATATTTGCGAATCTTCAACTTACCATTTTGAATTTACTTTACTTCGTATTTCTTTATCTTCAATTATTTAAGCCATAAATTTACACTCTTTTCAAATGCATTTTTTACTTTTGTTAAGATTATTCAATTAGAAAAATATTGCGGCTAATATTGAAGAACAATGCAGTCGTGATTCCTTACCTCCAAGTATGTCTTCAATGAAACGCTCCAAATAATCACCGTCATCATCGTCATCGTCGTCGTCGTCATCGTCGTCGTCATCATCGTCATCATCATCATCATCATCGGTGATATCTATATCGACGTCGTCGTCATCGTCGTCGTCGTCGTCATCATCATCATCGGTGGCGGCTGGCGCCGCAGGCCTTTCCCTGCCGGTCGCAACGACATTCTGCGTTGACAACACCTTGTTGTCAGCAATCTTAGGCACCGGCGAGGCGAGTGCTCCTATCGCCAGACAGCACAGCAACGTCAGGACTGCTGCTAGTCTCATGGCTCTGCAAAAGGAAGTAGACGAAGGAAATAGAATTACTTATCATTTTTAGCGAACAGATGTTATTTATAAATATGAAAAATAAATAAGGAGAAGTACACTGGCAATGAGAGTCAAGCGCGGTAATTGGAGCGCGACAAAATTATTATTTATTCATATTAATAATTAATTATTAATAATTAATTATTATTTAATCAAGTAACAAACGTTTCGGCATCATTCCGAGCCATCATGGATACGTTACTTGTACATGTGACTATTGTCACTCGAGCTCCACTTAAGTATGATCATCTTTTTCAACATTTTAGAATCGAAAATAACAAATAACGCAAAATAAGAATTGCACGATGGATTTTTGCGCAAATAAAATTTAAAAATTAGATATTTTCATTTTTACATTTTTATTTACACAAAAATCACTTCTATCCAGCTCTTAAATAACTGTTTTTAGAAACGACAATACTACTAGATAGAATTGATTAGATCCTATTTTCTCTTTTTCTTGTAATAATCCTTTTGTCTGTATTATTAAAAAAATACAAAAAGTGCGACCCGATCTGGGATATCCTAGACGTTACTCAAAGTAACCGAGAAATTGACAGGAGGACGTCGGCGATGATAATTCGCTCGTGTTACCCGTTATGGACGACACGTGCGACTCGTTAGAACGTTATTCTAGGCACGATCAGTGCGGGATACGGTAACCCGAGCTATATACAAGTTAACCGTAAGGAATCGTGTCTTTTTCTATCAGTAGAAGAAATACTTTCCGTGCCCAGACCGGCGATCAATCGCATGGGTTGCCGATCGCGGAATAGACAGTTCCCATAGTGACTGCGTTTCATAAAGCGCATGATGCACATGATGTGTCATTTTATCCTTGTTGTTTTATCCTATGTCAAACAAGGATAATACATTATGCCTCTTTATGGAACACAGCCAGTATCTCATAACATTCCTATGCGTATGTTTTCAACTTTCGGAGCACGAGCACGCGAAACATCGCGAGACGAGATTTACGAGCTGCATTACAATACACCGGATGTCTTGATTGTAAGAGAATAATATTACGGATAGAATAACAACAGTGGTTGATGACATCTTCGTGTATCTTTTTACAATCATTTCACGATTGAATATGGAAAGAAGAATTGGAAGAAGGGAGAGATTGAAATAAGATAAACGTAAGTGAAGAATATTATGATGCGCGTCGACAAAGAATACAAAGTTACGAACAATGCAGAAATCAATTCTTTACGAAATACTAACATAAAAGATTCATCTTATCGCGATTTTTGAATGATCTTTTTTGCAAAAATTGTGAGACATTGATGTCAATAAAAATATATGTGAAGAGAATTTTTAAAAGCTGTTACACAAAAGGATAATTAAACTGGAAATTAAGTAAATTTTTCCCCTTTTTAACAAACTATCAATAATAAATTAATAGGAAGTAAATAAATAAAAGATTAATAAGAAGAATGATCATAAATACACTTTTAATTTCTACTAAAAATTAAAAAAACTTTTTTTCTACTAATTCTTTAATTGAAAGTAATATATAAATAACTTTTTCGTTATATCTTCAGTTTTAAAAAGAGTAATCAAATAATTTTGTGTTACCTTTCATTAAAAAAGGTAAAAAGATCTTACATTAGCTTCATACAGACTTCGCGAGTCGATAGCAACTGCGTCGGTACCCGGAAGTAACTCTGCGACAAATTGGAATCAGAAGAGACTCAACCGGATGAGGAACCAAGAACCAAGTTCACACGAGTCCTTCGGACGCGAATACGTCACACGAAGAATACCGGCTAGCTCACTGTATTAGCGACGCACACAGTATCACTTAGCCCTCAGGGAAATGTTGCCTTCGATTAACTCGATCGAGCGGCGGGAGAACGAGGAAGAGGATGGGGCACCAACGCGGAGTCGGTCAAGGTCGTTCGAAGGTTCCAGTTACCGGAAATCGTTCTCCATTCCAATTCAGTTCGATGACTTCTGAAGGGTGGTAAGCACTTTGTTCTCCACTTTACTGTATCCAGTATCCCTTGAGAACTCACCTCTCTGTCTTTCTTCCTCTCTCTTTTTCTCTACTCTTCCTTTTCCACGTCTTCTTCGAGGTAGACGATTGACGATCGACGATGACACGCGTATACGTCCCGGTTCTTCCACCGATCGATCCACCGAGCGGTCCGGTGAGAGTGTTAAAACAGACGAGGCGGTCGCGATGCGATCCTTTTATACCGATCCATACCTCCACCTCTTACATACTCCTTCGTCGTCCTCCTTCTCGTCGTTGTCGTGTTCTTCCTTGCGTTTCATTCGCACCTACCTACCTACCTACCTACCTACCTTCTGTTTTCCACGTGGCCCGATCGAGCGTTTTCTCCCTTTCTGAGATATGCCTGAGCAAATTATACACATAAATATTTTACACTAAAATCATTATAAATCTTATAGTATTGTCATTCACCCGATAGCTCCGAAAGTTTTCAGATACATCTCAAAAATATTTCAACTGAAATGTAAAACATTTCATAAAAATTGCGAAATATGTCTGCAATATTTTTGAGACAACTCTGGAATAGCAAAATGTCCGCGATTCTTGCACATACATGAAACCTTGTTGAAGAAATATTACAGAAAAAAATCTGTAATCTTTTTGAAATATTACCAAAAAGGTATCAGCTATTTTTAGTACTAAAAATGATATTTAAATATACATATATTTGATTTAAATATTGTTTAAGTATCAATTAAACATACCTATATTTAAATATCATTTCTGAAGTATTTAAAATTTATTAAGAGTTTTGAAATCTATTTACAGAATTTATTGAAATAAATTTAAAATATTTCTCAAAAATGATTGTGCCAACTATTTTGATTAATTAATCACATTATATTTATAAAACACATATACGTAATCATTATTAAAAAAATCACACAGCTGCAGTTTCCACACAATATTATTATTCATATACAAAAGTTTTTCGCAATTAAAGTAGAACAAATCACAATATCAAAATGACATAAACTGAATCATGATTGATAAAAAAATAACTTTTAGTAAACATTTTGAAGCCATTTTAACATCATGATGCTTTATTATTCTGTTTAAATATGTTTTTTAATTTATTGCGTATGATTGATTTTACAAACATTTCTGTTAAAACATTTCATATTGTAGAATCCTTTCAGAAATGTTATATGAGATGTAAAAAATTAAAACATTTCTGAAAATATTCCACAATAATCGGTGCTGTATGGGTATCTACTGACAAAAAAAAGACAGAGAAAGAGAGCGAGAGAGAGACAAAGACAGAGAGAAGAGAAATACATAGGCAGCTCTTATGTACATTTTCTTTTATTATTAGCATATGTGTTTCTCACTAACTCCTACTTTCCATAATATCCATTAATATATACATATATATCTGATTCTATCCTATTTTTTTATATAATTATTATTTCTCTCATCATAAGTTAAACTTTATTTTTAGTGCAGCTACGTTAACTTAGCAATAAAAAAAAGATACTCTTAAGTCTTAAAAAAGTTAATATTTTAATGTTTCAAAACTTTTAGAATTTTTAAGAATTTTTTAATTTATTAAAATTATATATATATATATATATAAACTTTCTGATTTTTAAGATTATGTGAGTAGGCATTATTTGAAGTAAAAGTCTGCGATAACTATAATTGCATGAGAACATATTGAGAGAAAGAGTATTAAATGCTCTATCTTAAAACAGATCTGAGATAAATCAAGCTCGCATTAAAAGATCATTGTCACTCTCGTTTCTTCTGGCAAAATGTTTTAATACTTCATTTGATGATGCTGCTTATTCGATGTGCTACTTTCATGATAAATAATACATTACTCAAACCGACACTAGATGTTTCGTTCGATCTTGAAGCGGCTAATTAGCAGCAGTTGCTTCGCATATGGATGATTGGCGTTGTTTAATGCGAATGATCGCAAATATAAAATGATTACACTGATTAATTGAACAATTTTGTGTGTCATATCCATTGAAAAGAACTTTCTTATGATGATTTGAATAAGTGTTCAATGTCAAGTTGACAATCTAGAAATACAAGTCGAGTGGTGACTAGTCACGAAAATAAGATGGACAATTAACTTAAAGAACGTTTGTTAAAAATATTAAAATTTATATTTTTCAAGAAATAATATTTATAAAAAATATTAATTATATGATTATAATAATATTTTTTTCTGTTTTATCCAGATTTATAATTACTTGTCTCGATTAGTTACCTGTATTTTCTATATCCCATAATTTGTATATAACTTTGATATTTTATATGTATAAATGACATTTTGCAATTAATAAGATAGACTTCACATAAACTAATAAATCCATTCAACGATATAGAACAGAGAGCGAGAGTAGACTCGTAAACTCTTCTCTTCTTTGAGAAGATTTCATTTGCTGCTAAAGTTTTAATCTGCATATATTTAATATTCATGATCTATATAATTCCATGATCTATATAAATTTTAGAAAGTGATCTAAAATCTCTAAATCTCTTGAAAAAATGAGATTACTAAACCATAAACATTTATAACTATCAGGATCATGTCTGCTTATATCTCGTAAAATGTCTTATCTGTATCTTTTATTGTATTATACTTGCTGTAAAAAATTCTCATATTTTTATAAATATTTTTTACAAATCCAGCGTGTAAATTTAAATTTTAAGTACAGAAATAGTGCTCGATCGATTTCCACGATGTGCTTTTTGTTAATCGGACGATAATCAACATATTCAACCATATTATAAAAAAAAAACTTTGATCCTGACTAACATTAAGGACTAAAACAAGAATTACAGAAATGAAACGTTCGCTTCGAGAACGAGGAGCGAAAGCAACGCGCTCGATCGTCATCGGACCGGTCGATCGTCTAACTGTAAATACCGAGCAACTTCTTCCTGTGGATGGCATAGTAGTAGCTACTGATGGATCGATCATACACCATCAGCATCCGCTCTGTCTAATGCCCGAAGCGACGACGCTGGATTTTTATTCGACACATACCCGTTTGTGGAACGCTGGACGATTTCACGCCTCGAGACAGTCGAGATTACTCCCGATGCTCTTTGTAGATCTAATACAGATGGTTTTCTTGGAGTGTTTATCATATTATATTTCATCTGCGGATTGGAAATATTTCGATAACTTTCAATGCTGGACATTTATAGAAAAAGATTTTATTAGGATATACAGAAAAATATTTTCTATCTATTTTCCTTTATTTGATTCTTCATTTGATAATCTTTGTTAATACCGAACTATTGTCTCTTCTAGTGTCATCACGATAAGTGATGAGAATTTATAAAAGTCAGACAATAATAGAGCGCAATTACACTCGAACAACATAGATCGATCTATAAGACGAACAATAATGATGTCCGATAAACTCACAATCAAGTTAATTGTGATAGCATCGCACATCGAATGACATCGATTAGCTGCAATAAGATTAATTTCAAGATCATTATGTAACTATGACACTGTAATTGTTCTTTTCATACATTTTTAAAGTACTTCTAACATTTAAGCAATCTCAAAAAACGATTGCATGTATCGCACAATATTATAATACATTTTTATGTACATTTATTAATCCTTAATCGGTATTCCGAAATTTTCTTAAATGACATTTATATGATATAAACTTTAAATTAATATATCTTTGCTTTAAGTTAACGTAATTAAATAAATTTTTTCATTTGGTAAGTCAAAATCCAAAGAATGATTATCGTAATTTATATCTAAAATTATGTAAGTCATAAAAAATATTTAAACAATTATAAAAAATATGTAAATAATTTTTTATAGCATAATTGAAAAAAATGTTTGCATTTATTGAACTCATCAATATTGATTAAGATTAGCTACCTTTTTTTGAGTAAATTGTTATATTTATTTAAATATCTCAATAAAAGTACAGGACTCTCAGTATCATGTAATAATAAACGAATAGGGAATTCAAAGGGCAAATGAAATTCAATGTATAAAAGCTTTTTTTTTTAATAACGAATATAATTACTTACGAATATAATTAATTACGACCACATAATTGTACAAAAACGCAGTAGGTAATTTCGTACGTTTTATATAACTTTTGTATACTTGAAAAAAGCTCAACTCTGCAGCTGAAACATGTAATGTAATGCGTTCTCATTAAATATTCATTCGTAAGAAAATATATACAACAAATTTTCAATTTTTGTATAATTATGTAGTCATAATAAGTAATTAAACTCATTATTAAAAAAAAAATAATTTATACATTGACTTATTCGTCCTTTGAATTCTCTATTTGTTTATCATATAAATATCTCACTAACAGTTAAAATTTAAAGTAAATCCAAAGCCAGATATTTATTGATATTTGAAAGTATTTATCTTCGAGTACAATTTTAATAATAAAAATCAAATTGAAAACTCATTCAATGAAAGACTTCTATTATTGTGAACTGATATCAGAAGAAAAAAAGATGCTCTGATCTGAATTAATATCAAAATATATATCGACAATCATTTAAAATTAAAAAAAAAACCTATTAAAAGAAGTCTGATTCTTTTTTATTGTACATATATCAAATGTATAGAGATAAAATTCTTCTACATATTAGTAAATTTTTGCTGAGGTGAAAGCATATCTGAATCATCAATCAGCACGAAATCCGCCACCAAGATATTTCCCAGATAGTAGTGGGCACGTGAGCAACGACGTCCGGTGCAAATTGCTCGTTCGCGTGGATCATCGAGCTCTCAGACTTGTCGACTCTCCATTCTGGCTGGAATATGGGATTTGGTGTCACAACGAGGCAGAGAAGTAGTCCGCGGCTACGTGAATTAGTAATCAGGATGTGTGTCTCGCGCGAGTGGCAAACGCATTTTCGTATACGCACGCCCGCAAAGAGAGGGCGGAGAACGGGGAAGTGAGACAAGTGAGAGAGTGTGAGAACAGAGAGAGAGAAAGAGAAAGAAAAGATAAAATAAAGAACGAAGTGACGGTACGATTCACACACGCATTCCTCGCACTGTTGTCGTGCCGCAGGAACGCCATTCATTATTCATTGATTCGCGCGCAAGGATTGCAAACAGATACTCGAATTGCTGTCCGAATTCTTCATTTAGAAAAATCGAATTTCCATATCCAGCCTGGTTATATACG